GTATGTATGTATGTATGTATGTATGTATGTATGTATGTACGTATGTATGCATGTATGTATGTATGTATATATGTATGTATGTATGTATGCATGTATGTATATATGTATGAATGTATGCACTTATGTACGTACATATGTATGTACATATGTATGTATTTACGTATGTACGTATGTACCCACATGTGAATGTGGGTGTCTTTGTGTGGGTATGTATGTGTGTGTGTGTGTGTTTGTGTGTGTGTGTGTGTGTGTGTGTGTGTTTGTGTGTGTGTGTGTGTGTGTGTGTGTGTGTGTGTTTGCGACAGTTCAATGTGCTCATGTTTTGCTTCAGTTCTGGGTGTTTGTTGTGTTTTCACCTTTTTGCCACTCAGCTTCGCTGCAGACTCCTCAGTTTCATGCACCGTTGCACTTCATATGCGTGGGCATGCAATATACTTTGCATATATTTGAATTTCACAGACTGCTTTATAAATTTTCAGCACATTTTAACAAACCATGATGATTTATTACAAAATCAGCACACTTGCTAAAATGACTGAGGGGACTAACTTCATCAGCTTCTTCTAACAGGAACAAACAAAACTCTAAATGAGCCGTTTAAAATATTCAAATGTTTATTATGAAGTTAAACATTAAACTGAGGGTTGTACTTGTAAATAACGTATTTGTTATCAAGAATGAAAAATCCAGTTTTTCTTTTGACCACAAACAGTTCCTAACAAAGTGTGTGTTTGGGTTGTGTATTACACAAACAGCAGGACGATGGGTTCCTTTCCTTCTGACAGTAATGCCCAGGCTCTTATAGTGATTTGTACTCGACATGGGGAGGGGTCAAAGTGTCTTAAGTCAACACCGTCCACATTCTTGACCTTTATTTGTCCTTAAAGTGTGTTGGTGTGGAGAAGACTCTTCAAACAGCATTCCTTATCCATGGCTTTTGTTCATCTTCACATCAAAACGTTAAATTAATCTGCCGAAAATAAAAACTTCTGGTTTGAGCCAGAAAAGACAAATGAAGTGCTTACAGGAGGCTCTGTCTGTGACCTGCTCTTTACTGACATTGTGGAAATTTTAACCAGGTCTTTTAATCAAATCTTGTGAGCCCTCTGCTGTGCCTCTGGAAATTAGGAGCAGGAGACATATAGAGTTTCTCGGCACACAGAGCTCCTGCAGTTCAGGGTTGTTGTTTTTTTTTTTTTGACGAGGTCTGTCTGCCATGAGCTGAGCTATACAGAGAGCTGTTTTTAAAAGGGGTCCCTCTGGGGAAGCTGGACTGTGAGGAAAAAGGCTGACAGAGGAAATCACACCCAGTTGTGCCCAAGAAAGCCCATCTGGTTCCCTGAAATCTGCAGACATTATCTGTGTAAAAAAGAGTGGGTACGCTTTTGGCAGCTACTTTGCGGTGGTTGCAAACGTTTGGAGCGAGAGAGTTTATACAGTAGTTAAAGACAAAAACTAAATCACAAAATACTGAAGATCTTTTTAAAGAAGTGTTAATCAAAACAAGACAACTAACTGGTTTGAGTGGTTTGCCTTTTTCAGGAATTCAAAAAATGTTCCTCAATGAACATTTTGTCTGAAACGAGAAAAGCCCAACAAGAGTGTCTTAATTTATTTTTCTTAGTCATCCTTTTTTAAGTAAAGAAACCTAATCTAAAAGTCTTTGATATTTGAACATTTCCTATCGGGGGGAACTTTGCATTTTTGACATAAAATAAGAGATGAGTTCCAGATGCAGACTTCAGAAGCCCATTAATCAGGGCCACTCTGAAACAGCCTGTCAGGCCTGACACGTGTAGAGGAAACAATGTGAAAAGACATGAAAGAGGAGCGCTAACAGAAAATATTACATTTCATAGGCTGTTATGGTTTACAACCCTCCAAAGTTCAGAGGATGGAGGAGATTTAAACAGAACAGAAGCCTGGAAAGAAAAGAGATGGCGTGCACAGTGAGGAGAGCTGATTTAAAGAAGAATGAACATTTAGATGTTAAGTAATAGATAAGTGTTTATTAATCAACTGTATAAATGATACAGATGGACTTTTGTTTCTCTGAGGTGGCACCAAAGACATTTAATTTATGCTCACGTCTGTTTTTCCTCTTCCTGACTTGAGGAATGTTTAGATGTTTTTGGTCTCATATCTCCAGGGAATGGAAACAACCAAAATGAAGAATATCCATAAGAGCGGTAATAAACTTTCCAGTTGTGAACTGGAGGGTCTGTTTTAATCTCACGCACACATTCACAGACATTTACACACACGCACACACACGCACACACACACACACTGCCTACTAAGAGCCCACAGTCAGGTAGTCAGTCTTCAGGCGGCTCAGTCTGGTCCCATGACTGCGGATGATGAGGGACAGCAGTTCGTGTTTGTCCTTCAGACCCTGGGAGATGTCCGTGGTCTCCCTCAGCGCGCCCCTGATGTCGCTCACTTGCTGCAGCACGTGGCCGCCCAGCTGCTGTTCCTCCATCAGCTCCGTCTCCTGGCTCTGTTTAAACTTCACCTCCAGCTCCACCAGAGAGTTGTCCACGCTGGAGAAGGCCTCGCTGATCTGGGAGATCTCCCTGCGGAGGAACTTCCCGTAGCTGTCCTCTCCGTCCAGGTCGTGCGCCACGGTGCGCCCGATGCTCTCCAGCAGCCGCGCCGCGTCCTCCGCCTGCAGTTTGCTGATGATGAAGTCGTCGCGCACGGCAGCGTCGCTGTCCTCCTCTGAGGCCGCGCACGGGAGCGCGTCGGAGAACTTGAAGAGCATCTGACACTGCTCGGGGTCCACAGTCTCCTCGTAGTCTCCGTCCGGGACGAAGAAGTGGTGGAAGGTACCGTTGGTGATCTCCGGCTGGAGGGGCCCGGTGTAGGCTGCGGAGCCCGCCGGTACCGATGAGAGCAGGATGAGCAGCAGCGGGACGGGGTCCATCATGAGCCTCCAGTCCGTCTTTCAGCGAGCAGCATCTGGACTGGAAGCCGGATGCAGCGCGCTGTTTTCATCCAGACTCATGTTACACTACACCCCCCCCCCATCCCCCCCCACCCCGAGTCACCTAAAAGGCACAGGATGCCAGTTTGACTCCAGGGGGCCCTTCATGCGCCCTGCGTCCTGCCATGAGTGCATCATCACCAACCTATAGCATCTCAGATCAGAAGACTGCCCAGGTTAGTGTAAAACTGTACATTAAAACAATATATATTTTTTGCTGTTGTTTTGTAAACAAACAATTTATACCAATGACCTACAAGCCACTGAGTTTAAACTTATTATAATGTCATAAAGAATGGTCAACATACTATAAAGTAACAAACTAAATGTGCATATTATTTGTTCATATCGGTGGCTAAAGTGTAAATAAGAACATAACTGTAAGCTAAATTTGTGACTTGCTGCCAACAGGTCACGTGACATTCATGCTTTCCAAAAAGAATGATTGTGATCCATCAGAACAGTTTCCCTATAGTCTCGATCCTTCTCAAATGAACTCGAACTGAACAGCTCTTCTTCTTTATGGTTTTGATTTGCACTATGGAGAATCATCTGATATGACGTGTTCCTGAGCCAATGACTCCAAGGTCTGAGTCTGTTTTTGACAAGTTGTCAGAAATCATCACAACCCTGCAGCATACTAGTTGTTTGACACAAAATAATCTGCACTTTTAGTTTGTTCTGGTCATTCTTCACAGTTATATTGAGAAATATCGATTTATTGATGTGATATAAACTTCCTTGTCTTTAATTTGGACATTTTTGTCCTGACTTGACAAAAGTCAGTTTTCAACTGTTTCAGAAAAACTTTTTGTTTGTGACATAGATATACGAATAAACAATATTAATTTCAATATTTCTCTTATTTGGTGTGTTTTATATTTGCAAGGTTTTTTTTTTTATGTTGCAAGATGTTTAAAAATACATTTAATAAGTTGCTATGATAGAAACACAGTAAACAGTGTTTATTCTTCTGATACAAACAAGTTCTCATGAACATTCATTTATAAGGTGAGAGTGTTGTTAGAGCTCCTTCTGATGCCTCCAGTCAGGTGATTTCATGGATGAAGGAGTCCCCGAGCTGCTCCTCTCTGCTGCACATCCTGTTTCAGGTATAGATCATCTCGAGGTGGTCCCAGCGAGCAATACATAAAAAAAAAAAAAAAAAAAAAAATGGAAGCGTAGGGTGAAATGTTACACACAGAGCTGTCATTTCCTCATTTCAATTCATCACACAACACCACAGAATACAAGAAAAGGTTATTTAAACTGTCTGTTATTCTGCTGACAGAGGTTTGTTCACTCACCTTTTTTCATCTGAGACCAAAAATCAGACCGAAGCTGCGGGATAAAAGTAAAGATTAAAGGCTTTGTCAGGCGGAGAAAAGCATGTCAGTAGAGAGGCACAGGAAACCTGAAGAGATCAGGAAACTGGTAAAAATCTTAAAACCAGCTTCAAAAACAGGCTGGGATGAATAAAATCAGACCTTTCTTCCATGTGATGTTGAGGTTATTGGGAACTGGGAACAGCTGTTCAGGTTACGCAGAAAAATAGAAGAGCAGAAGAAGAGACAAAGATGTCTGCCGGGGAAGAAATCAATTCTCCTGTTTTTGGTCTAACAGCAGGAACGTTCAATTAAAACCTCCTTTAATGCAGCCATGTTTCGTTTGATCGTCAATTCTTGCAGTGTGGTGTTGTTGAAGCAGGCAACTGTTGTGTGGAGCACCACAGGGTTCTGTTACAGAGCCAGTCCTGTTCTTGACAGATCTTAAGTAAACTTGACATCTCCGACCACAGTTATCCTGACAGCACACAGCTGCACTGCTCTGTTAAGAGTTTATTTTAATTGTCAGAATTATGAATAACTGAGAGCCTGTTAGAAATTGTTTAACAATTATTTATTTCCATCAAACTCTGACAAAACAGAACGTCTCATAAAAAAAAAAAATCCCAAACGATCAGATATGGTCTTCATCAAATCTTTAATTTGTTGGTAAGGGATGGTCAGTTTCACAGAAAGTCAAAACATCACAGAGTTTTAGTCGGCCTGTTCTGCGGGCGTCGGTTCTGATCTGTCTCTGCTTTATTAAATGACTTCAGTTGTTTAAATAATCCCATGAATTGAGAGAAAAAACAATTACGCTGAGGGTGATAAACATATCTACTGATATACATAGATTGCCCCAACCCACATAGATTGCTTCAACCTATAGATTGCCCCAACTTACATAGATTGCTCCAATCCACATAGATTGCT